GTGACGTTACTTGAATGATTATTGTGTGACACAGAAAATAGTTGAATATTTGTTTAAATATTTTAACATTCTAATATTAATAATTCAACTATTATTCTCTATCAAGTGGGAGAATTTAACATGTCAATTATATAGAAATCAGAAACAAATATTATTTGTTTAATATATAGTATTATTTTATAGAGACTTATATTGAGGATATTTTAGTCTTATGTTATATCCTCAATATTAAATTTGATTAAAGTCTCGTATTTTTCCGCTGCGTATAACGTAATATGTTTCTCAAATGTGTGTAGTTATACTTGTAGCATTTGAGCTTTGAGCGAGTTATTAATATATCGTATAAAGTCTTATATTCTATTTAAAATTATATGAATTTGATCTCACTCAAAAGATGGTGCAAAATATGTGGTTGAGTTTGATGATATATTATAGAACCACTTCTCTGTATAATTTTGCACTAAAAATAAAATTAGCATCTCATTGTTCAATCAGAGTATTTAATATTATTGATCTCTGATAAATCTTTATCATATTAGATTAGTGGGAGTGGAGTGCATGTGAACACAATCATATAATCTAAAAAATTTGGATTATTATTCTCATAGTGTCATATATTCTTGCGCACACCGTAAATATGACATATTCTAAAAGGACTTCAAAATATGAAATAATTATAAGAAGCCTTATTCTGTTATACTGAGATATATATTATTCTCTTAATCTCAGGAAATATCATAATTTGATGTTTAGGTTGATATTGAAAAGACATAATCATTCTTTATCGTGCAATAATATTGTGTTATTCTATCTTCAATAATCCACATTTGTCAGGTCATAATATGAAAGTACAAGTAAATATCAATACTCTTATCGAGTATGATATTGTGTTATGAATGTACTTATAATTAAATGTAATTACTCTGTTAATAAGATATCCCTATATGTAATTACTATTCTTAGACCTATGTGGATATTCTATGACCTATAATTTAAAACTTATTAGTATAATCACTAACCATAGACTTATACGCACGAGTAAGTCTTATGATATTTTGGGTTAGTGGGAGTTTATCAATAACATTTTCATATGCTTGAGCCATTCTTTATAACATATTACTCTGAAGTTAAATATGCTACTCTAAAATCATCATTTTTTATATAAAGTTGTGAGTTTTAACATGTATGATTTATCTTCCCTATCAGATACAATTTCTGCAGCGTTGAAATTTACTTATTTTTTATTGATTATTGTTTTGACTATTATTGATATTTTAATACTAAAATCAATATTTTTAATAATTAATTATTGTCATCCAAGTGGGATATTGTTAGATTAATTATTTAATTAATTATTAATTAATTATATTATGGTCTATTGTTATTAAACACTAAATAGATGAATTGTTTGATTGAGTTTTGTACCTGAATGGATCGTGATGGGTTGGACCATTCAGTTAAGCCCATTGAGAGGTCTCTGTCCTCAGCTGTTTAACTATTTAAGTGTCTCCTCATTAGACAATTAATATACTATAAAAATCCTAAACGACAATGAGGGTAGTAATCCTTTCATACTCACACTCTTTCGATCACCGTCTCTCAAATCCTACAAGGTACATCGTTCTTATTATTGTCGATTGAATTTCTTTAAATACAATATGCTATAATTTGTATCTATTAAATTCATTTAAATCCTTCATTATGTACATTGTGCTACATTTATTACCTCAAACTCTATGACATCTTTGGCAAACTACAACACATCATTATCATTATTCTTAAGGGTATAAGACAACGAGAAAAACTGAACTTAGGGTTTCAATACCACATACGTTTAATGTCATTATAACCCTCACTTTTAATCAAACTCTCCAAATTCATGTGTGACATGTAATCCACACCTCACTTCCAATTCATCTCAGGTACACCCTCATCAACATATCACTTAACAATTTCAAGATTAATCTCCCTCTATAGTGTATTCTTAAGTTAACTTTATAACTTTTAGTTGACTTGAGAATTAATAGAAAAATAATGGTATAAATTAAGATATAATGGGACCACAACTTAAATTTTAAAAAACACGATGGACCATATCATACGAATAAAATAAGAAAACATATGAGACTTAGAACACAAGTTAACATAGAAAAATCACGGTGGACCACAACAAACAAATGACAAAACAAAACAAGTGGGACGTGGCGATGTTCCAAAGGAGACAACAAAACATACGTTAAACAGAACTTCACTTCTTCACTTCTATCGAAACGTCCCTTACTCATCTTCCCGAACTTCGAATCCCGAGAAATAAATGTTGCATATATGTTTGAAATGCAAGTGCTTTAGATGGTGGTTGAGCTTGGATTGTAATGAGCAACAATGGTTCTTAAAGCGAATGTGCTTGAGCAACAATGGTAATTGAAAAGAAGGGGAATTGGGGTTATTTGTTCAATTTGTCAAAAATGAGGGATTAGTATATTTTCTATTTTGAATATTTAAATTATTATATTACATTAAAATAGATTTTAAAAAGTTATTGAGAGAGAGAGAGTTTGAAATTCTAAAAAAAAAGAATGGAGGAAGGTGAAATAGGAACAATAGAGAAAAAATGGAGAAATTTTGTACTAAAAAATTCATAATTTTTCACATATATAAAATATGATTTTTTTTTCTTCCTATTCATGTATTTAAAACATATTTATTTTATTTTAAACTATAATAAATTGTAAAGGATAAAAATGAGTATTAGTTCAAATAATAAGGATAAAAATAAAAGAAATATTAAAAAATTAAAAGTTACAAGGTTAAAAACTAGTTTAAGTTTTGTTTGACTTTTAAATTTTTGTTTTTCAGCTAATATCAATAAAAAACACTACTCCTTCTGTCTCAAATTATAAGAGCATCCACACTCATTATCCTCACTTTAGTTCTTTAGATGGGGTCCACGCAATTTTTTATATTATATTCCACTTCAATATTTTCTAAACAATTCAACTACATTTTTCAAATATCCATACAACTCATCAAATACTCTAAAATAGGTCCCACCAAATCTCACAATATATCCAACATTTTAATTATATAAATAAATAATTAAAACAATTTAATTCAAATATATCAAAATACATTAAAAAATTTTATATATATATATATATATATATATATATATATATATATATATATATATATATATATATATATATATATATATATATATATATATATATATATATATATTAAAAAACACAATACGTCACACAAATAATTAATTAAAAAAATACATTATTAAAATAAGTTACTAGCACAAAATACAATAAAAATATATATTTAAAATATTTTTCAATTGTTGTTATTCTCATGTCCATAACGTTGCCATATATGTTCTATCAAGTCTTGTTGAAGGTGTCGATGAACTTGTTTATCACGAATATCAAATCTTCTATGCATGAACTCTTGAAAATCAATATTAGAATCATTCGACAATATTGTCGCATCATTACTCAAATGATCATAAGAAAAATCAAAATTTCCACCATATGTTGCACGTTCATCTTCAACAATCATGTTGTGTAATATGATGCATGTATTCATTATGCGCTGGAGTGTGTCTAAGTGCCAAGATCGTGCTGGATTGCGTATGATCGTAAATCTGGATTGAAGAACTCTAAATGCTCGTTCAATATCCTTTCTTGCCTCTTCTTGATGTTGGGCAAACAATTTTCTCTTATCCCCTTGTGGCATCGAGATACTTTTTACAAACGTTGCCCATTCAGGATAAATACCATCTGATAGATAATAGCCTTTGTTGTATTCAGTACGATTGATTGTATAATAAACCTCGGGAGCTCGTCCTTGCAGAACATCGTTGAAGACATTGGATTGGTTCAACACATTAATATCGTTGTTTGAACCCGCTACCCCAAAGAATGCATGCCAAATCCACAAGTCATGTGAAGCCACTGCTTCAAGCATAACAGTTGGTTTCCCATGATCGCCTCGAACATATTGTCCTTTCAATGCAACAGGACAATTTTTCCATTCCTAATGCATGCAGTCAATGCTCCCTAACATACCTGGAAATCCTCGTGCCTCTCCCATTTGCATTAAGCGTTCAATGTCTTTGGCGTTTGGCCTTCGCAAATATTGTGCACCAACAATGTTGATTACTCCTCGTGTAAACTTATCAACACATTTTAGTGTCGTGGTTTCACCAATTCTCAAATAGTCATCCACACTATCAATAGATGTTCCATATGCCAACATACAGATAACAACAGTGCATTTTTGTAATGGTGAAAGACTTGCCCTACCTGTTGCATCAACCATCATTCGAAAATACTCATCATGTTGACCTAGAGCTTCAACAATACGAAGGAACACATGTTTATGCATTCGGTACCTTCTACGAAACTGCTCATTTGTGTATACCGGAGTTTCTGAAAAATAATCTTTGAACAATCATTCATGTCCCTCTTCACGATTCCTCTCTATATTCCTTCTTTTATGCCTAGGCCTTCTAGAGCTCGGGGCTTCTTCTTCCATAAACAACCTCACAAGTTCTTCATCCATGTCATCATTCATATAATCCATAAACATTTTTGCAATGTGGGAAGGATTGGAAGGATCCATGTGAAAAGAAGTTTGATATTTAGTAGAAGATGATAAGAAATTGTAAAAAATGCAAGATGTTAATACTATTTATAAGACTACTTTGAATAACGACTAGTTTGAATAACGGCTAGTTGGACTTTGAATAACGGCTAGTTTGAATAACGGCTAATTTGATTTTGAATACGTAATCATACTAATTAAGTCCATATTAATTAATTCCAAAATACATAATCTTACTAATTAATCCCAAAATACATAATCTTACTAATTAAGCCCAAAATACATAATCTTACTAATTGAGCCTAAAATACACAATCTTACTAATTAATCCCAAAATACATAATCTTACTAATTAAGCCCAAAATACATAATCTTACTAATTAAGCCTAAAATACATAATCATACAAATTAAGTCCATATTTTTCTCTAATCATGTCGCACAACATATCATGAGCTTGTAGTTGTCTTGTATCCATATTTGATGTATCTTTTGAGAGTATTTGCAGATCATTCATCTTCAATCTCTCCTCAACACTCCCAGCCTTCTTAATCTTTGCATCAACCTTTTTTCTCTCTATCTCAACTTTTCCACCCTCAATGCGTGCATAGTCCCGTGCAAACATTGACATCAGATCAAAATTTTTTTTAAAGTCATCTTTCAAAGAATCATATTTGACATTGGAAGTAGAAGACATTTCCATAAGCTTTTCTTTCTCCTTCCTTTTGGCTGCCTTTTGACCGATTGGACGACGAGACAAAGTAGGTGATGATGGATCGTGTTCGCTGCTCATTTGTGGATTAGAAGATGAAGAATATGCTCCTGAAGTTGAATTCTTTGTTCTTTTTGTAGAAGCTTCTAATGAACCTGCGAGCCATTTAGGTTCATCTTTCAATAATCTCCATGCAGCTTCAAAAGTAAACTTTTCACCTTCATCTTGGAAATAGATTTTATATGCAGCTTGCATGATATTGCTCTCGGAACTCCCATTTTGTTGTGTAGACACAGCTTGTTTGTAGCATCCAACAAATTTTTGAACAAATGGATTGATTTTATGCCATCGACATTTTAGTTGCGTCGGTTTCCTCTCTTTGTAGTTAATGTCACGATGCTTGTTGTAAGCTTCACCGATCCGCTTCCAAAAACTATCTCTTTTTTTATCAACCCCAACAATTGAATCTTTTGAAACGTTGAGCCATGATTGAATGAGAATTTCATCCTCTTTTTGTTGGAACCTTTGTTTATGCGTATTCACAACACGTACGGATGCAACTTCTTCACCAAGGTTAACTGTTTCTAAGCTACCTTGAGTGCAAAACAGTGGTATTTCATCTTCTTGATCATTTGGTTGCGCATCACTACTACCTATTTGAGCCCCATGAGGCATAATGGGGTTAGTTGATTGAGATGTAAATTGTTGATATTGATATGGATAAGGTGGTGGCTTATATGAGTAATTTCCAAAGTGTGGATTATTTTGTGGATTTAGGATAAAAGGTGAGTTTTGAAATTTTGGATTATGGTGTGGATTTGAGATAAAAGGTGTATTTCTAAAATATGGATTACTTTGTTGATTTGGAATAGAAGGAGGGCTACCACTATTTTGCATAAAATTAGACCAAGGGTTATGTTGATTGGGATCCATTGACAAATAAATGTGTAGAAGAAAAAAATTAAGATGAGATAAATTCAATACTTCAAAGTTAGACTACTGTAAATGAAAATTGTAGTAAAATTAATAACCTATTTATAAGGATGAAAAATATTACCGTTAGTTTATTAATAAATTAAAATATAAATATTATAGTGATTAATTTATAGATAATATAGTGATTAGTTTAAAATATTAATAAATTAATAACCTATTTATGAAATAAATATTGCCATTATTTACTAAAATATAAATAATATAGTGATTAATTTATAGCCGTTACAATTTCATATTTCAATTTAATATTAAATTATTTACTAAAATATTACCGTTGAATTATTTAAATTATTAAATTATTAATTTATTTACTAAAATATTACCGTTACAAAGTATTTCAATTTAATATTAAAATATTTTAATTTAATATTGGCATGCAATTGAAATATTACCGTTGAATTATTCCATCAAAAGAAAATATTACCGTTACATTTATTATTCTTGTCCAACATTTATTATTATTGTCCAGCATTTATTATTCTTGTCCAGCATGACACTTGTAGAACGTTAGCAAACCAGCCAACGTTGGCACATGTAGAACTTTAATATTTTATCAAATATCCATTAATACTGACATGCAACATTTTGTAAACTGTGTAGAAACATGAATATTTGACTGATATTTATGCTCTAAGGCGTTTTCGGCATTTCACACAGTTTAAGAAAAATAAGTAATGTTATATAAGAAAGAAAAATTATGTATGACTTTACAGTATTGTCCTTTATTAATTATAACTGAAAGAGAAATTAATATAATCAAAAGAAGAAAGAGATGTAAATAGTAGAGAGTATATTAGGAAAAATGCCATTAATGTTGTGTTGAGATTGTAAAGTGACTTATAATTTAAGACAAATATTTTTTACAAAGTAACTTATAATTTGAGACGGAGAAAATATTTAATAACAATTATATATCTTTTAGCTTGTACTTTTTATTTACTAGCTTATAATTTCTCAAGCATTATTTAAAATGATTTTTGAGTCTGTTTGTTAAGATCGAAAAAAAGAGTTTTTAGCTTTTCAATTCATATCAATAGAATAAGTTTTTATTTGGTAATAGTTATTTAAGATTTAACTTTTAATTTTTATTACTATTAATTTATGAATTTTTTAAAGCTATTTGAAATTGCTTTTGAGCATGTAGCATTTAACTTGTTACAATTTCTCATTTATACCTTTACAATTTAATAAAAATATGGGTTAATATCATTTTACCCTATGTCATATGTTCATTTTAGTCCTCCTCATTTGACCTAAGTGAGAATCACTATTGAAGTTGTGCATGCAACCTCATTGAAGTATCTCGAGCCCAAAATCACTCAAGGAATCAGTTGAACATCTCGTCATCCATCGCTTTGAAATGGATTCACGTCCAAAGGTATGACAATTTCATCCATTTTTTTCCATTTTGAGATTTAGTGCGTTAGGTTTAGTTTGACGTTAGGGTTTTTGTTACAGATTATGGGTAAGTTCAGTGTTGTTATTTATCATGGAGGAGAGTTTGTTACGGAGAAGAATATGTTTTATAGGGGTGGGGTTCAATCTACTATGTCTAATTAAGATATCGAAGAATGGTGTATAGATAAATTGATGGAACTTGTACTTGGATGAGGATACATTAGAGATAAATTTAGGGTTTGGAGCAAAATAGAAGGTATAAATGAAAATTTTATTGAAATTAATAGTAATCACCGTGCATCGGATGTTGCTAATTATGCTTTAGATAATAACACTGAATGACACATTTATGTTGAACATAATGTGAAGGATATAAAAAATAAGGTTGTCGAGCCTAAATATATTTAGATGGGGTGGGAACCGATTCAAGTGATATAGAAAGTGTTGATGAAGCAACAAATTTTAGGTTTGATGACACAGAGGATGAGAGGACAACTGCAATGGATGATGGTTTTGAATGTTTTGAAGTAAAGAAAATTAAACATTCTTTACGTAGAATTGTAATTGATGGGAAGTTCTATAGTTATAAGAGGTGTGATAGTAAATCACCCATGAAGAAGATGACACCAAAGAAATAGCAAAAGGTGACACCAAAGAAAAAGAAGAAGATGACACCAAAGAAAAAGGAACCGATAGAGATGGATGAAGACCAATACGTAAGTGATGAGTTAGGTAGCTCCAATCCAGATGCATCTGGTGATGAAAATATGCCAAGGTATGAGAAGTTTGTGATGAAGCAGCTTGGGAAGGATTATGAGTTTAAGTTGGGAATGGAATTTAATTCCTTGACTGATTTCAAAGATGAAATAATTAAGTCGCCAATGTTGAATGGAAGGGAAATTACTTTTGTGAAGAATGAAAGAGATATGGTAAGGGTAGAATGTAAGAGTAAATATGGATTTTTGGGTTTATGTTCTAAAGTGGATTCCAGCAAAACTTTTCAAATTAATACAAAGGCGGGGATCCACAGTTGTGTTAGGGTTTTAAATAGTAGATGTGCCAAGTCCAAGTGGGTAGCAAAGGCTGCGGTAAACAAAATGCAGACAAGTGAGAAAATGAGGATTGCTGATATCATTCAAGACATGAGGAAGACTTACTCAATAGGGATTACACCAAGTAGGGCATGGAAAGCAAAAGAGATTGAAAAAAATATTGTTAAAGGGGATGATGTTAGATAATATGCAATGGTTTGGAGGTATACAACTGAATTAGGAAGAGTATTTGCAGGGAATACAGTGAAGATTAATGTAGAAAGACCTAATCCATCTATTCAACCAAGATTTGGGTCTTTCTACTTCTGTTTGGATGGCTGCAAAAGGAGTTTCATTCAGGGGTGTAGACCATTTATTAGTGTGGATGGATGCCATTTGAAGACTAATTTTGGTGGTCAGTTGTTGATAGTAGTAGGAAGGGATCCAAATGACCAATGCTTTCCATTGGCATTTGGAGTGGTTGAGACTGAAACCAAAGATAGCTGAAGGTGGTTCTTACAACTTTTGATGGAATAAACTAGTCAAGACAGAAGACATGTCTTCATCTCAGACCGATAAAAGGTATTTGCAAGTTTTTCTTTATCACTACTTATGAAAAATATTTACCTTATAATCTGATTTCCGAGTTGTTAATAGTTACAGGGTTTGGTAAGTGTTTTTGAAGGCATGTTTGAAAGAATTGAACATAGATTGTGCCTTAGACATCTGTATGCACATTTCAAGAAGAAATTTGGTGGAGGCACTTTGACTAGAGACCTAATGATGGGAGCAGCTAAGGAAACATATTATCAAGCTTGGGAGGAGAAAATGGTTGAGCTAAAGAAATTGGATCCAAATGCTTATGAATGGTTGATGAAGGTCCCTACTAAAATATAGTGTAAGCATGTTTTTAATATATATCCTAAATGTGATGTGTTAATGAATAACATTTCAGAATCATTTAATGCAACAATACTAGGTGCTAGAGATAAACCAATTTTAACAATATGTAAATGGATTAGAAACTATCTCATGAACAAATTTTCATCTACTGTAACTAAGCTTGAATGATGGGAACATATGATCATGCATATTCCTAGGAAGAGACTAGATAATGAGGTATTCATGAGTGGGCAATGGAATTCATCTTGGTGTATGAATGAGAAATGAGAGGTCAAACATGCACACAATTCTCATCAATTTATTGTTGATGTGGGAAAAAGAATATGTTCTTGTGGGTTTTGGGATTTAGTTGGGATTCCGTGTAGGCATGCTTGTGTAACATTAGCTTATAGGAAACTTAAACCTAAGGGTTATGTGGATGATTGCTACTCTAGAGAAAAATATGGACTGACATATAATTTTGCAATTATCCTAATAAATGGGATGGATATGTGGCCATCAGTTGAATCAGATGAATTACTTCCTCCTTTATACAAGAAAGGACCTGGCAGACCCAAAAAGCTAAGATTCAGGGAACTAGGTGAGGGAGGTTCAAGAATGAGGAGTTGAATATACCTATAGATGCACTAAGTGTGACAACATTGGTCATAACTCAAGAAAATGTAAGGCTATAATTCAGAATCCAGATGCTTTGAAAAGAAAGGTACATTAACTCATTCCCTTGCAATATATTTTGAACTCTTCATATTAATATATGTTATTGATTTGGCTTCCATTTTCAAATGTAGAGGAAGGATCCTAGGAAAAGGTCTAGAGTAGCACCAGTTGCTGACCAAGGAGATGCACCAATTGCTGAACAATGAGATGTACCAATTGTTGACCAAGGAGATGTACCAGTTGTTGACCAAATCCAAGTACTAGTTATTGATTAAGGATATGTACTAGTTGCTGACCAAGAAGATGTACCAGTTGTTGATGACACAACTGCAATCCCAAAAGAGATGAACAAGCTCAAGGGCAAAAAAAAGTGAAACTTGTTGGACATAAAAGATCAAGTGTCAGGTTGAAGGTATTGAAAACCAAGACACATAAGGGACCTGAAACAACTATTTCTGAACCACTAGTCATTCAAGAGGATGAAGAGGGTACATTAACTCAAGAGAATGCTGAAGCTGGCTTAGACCCTAAGCTAGGGACATGTGTCAGGGCAATGAAGTCTTGGAGTGATATCTCAAGGGCTTAGTGAAATCTTGATTAGTTTTATGTTTTTTGTGTATTGTAATGACAGTTGCACTTCAAGTACTTTTGATTATGTTTAGGTCCTACTTATGACAGATGCACTTAGAGTGCTTTTAATTACAATTATGTTATGAGAGTTGCACTTCAAGTGCTTTTGGTTATGTTGAATGACTTATGTTAAGATTTGGTTATGTTATGCCAGTTATGTCTTTAAGCCATGTCATGACTTATGTTAACTGAACTTTGAAGTTATGCTTTTAACTAAACTTTGAAGTAATGCTTTTAACCAAACTTTGAAGTTATGCCAGTTATGTCTTTAAGCTATGTTATGACTTATGTTAGCCAAACTTTGAATTTGTTATGACT